AAAAACCGACCGGTCTTCGGTCGGATTTGAACTCGGGTCTCAGGCTCTGCACTAGACCAGCGCACTTGTCTCTGCGCCACGATCGCCACGAGGCGAAATAATAATTATCTCAAGTTAAATGAGTCCGGACAGATAAAGCCTTCTGGTTATCTTCAATAGTTACTTCAGTCTTGTTGAAGATCATTGCTTATCGCAGAGTGATGTCCTTGCCAAAATAATAAACGGAGATTAACGCAATCGCAGTCGTTTGCAATCTCATTGCTATTTTGTGTATGAATCAAAGTCAATCACGTACTGATTCTAAATTTCGATTTGAATCAATTTATTTCAATTTCAAATTTAGACAGCACATTCGTGTATGAAAAAAAAAAAGAAATATCTTTTTTCTTTTTTTAGCGCGATTGCTCTACGCGGCGTCTTATCATGTGTTATATAAAGAAAATGTCACTTTATATCTCTGACTTTCTTCTACAGTAAATTCAGTCTTAGACTTTTTCGAGCATACGTTCTAAATCGGAAAATTGTATAAGAGTACGGAAAGATAAGAAAGCTGACTCACACAATACTTGTTTGCTCTCGACATCCCACTTGCGAATCTGTAAAGTACGAAGAATATATAGAAAACATGTATAATCTGCAGGTAATCGTCGAAAGAAAGGCTCAATGGAAATTCAAATGTGATAATAACTACAACGATGCGACGAAGAAGAGACGAGCTCTCCTGGATTTGCTGTTGGAGATATCAGATAGCGGCACCGTCCTTTCAGACGAGGACATTCGCGAAGAAGTGAATACTTTTATGTACGCTGGACACGACACAATGGCCACCAGCATATCCTGGACACTTTACGTATTAGGACGACATCCCGAATATCAAGTACGTCCTTTCATATCGCACCGTTTTCGCTAACATCTTTCGATATATTTTTGACACACTTGAAAAAGATTTTTGTATCTCATGCGCATTAGATGTATTTCCTAAATTGTAAAATCAATTTCAAGTGTTGAAAAGCTAATTGAACGTTATTTCTTCTTTTTATACTTTTAATATTAATTTAACATCAACATCTCCTTGTTTTTTCTTCAGGAAAAAATTGTGGACGAATACAACGACGTGCTGGGCAATGACGAGATTACCTTGGAAAATATACACAAATTAACGTGGTTGGATGCCTGTATCAAGGAACAGTGGAGATTGTATCCGGTGGTTCCGCTTATAGCGAGGCAAATTTATACACCGATTGAAATAAGTAAATATCTCTCATTATCTTCAATTTCTGAAATGTTATATCAGTGCGTTACACTATTACATGATAATCGATATAATATATTTAAATATATAATATAGATCAATCAATATTAGTAGAGCGCTGTTTTAATATAACTGTCGGATGACAGACATTAAAATGCAATAAATAACTATTGCTATCGTACAGTCACCAATCGCATAACGCACGGAAAATTTCAATTTATATGAGATTTCTTTATTTTTAGTCGGCAATCAAATCCCATCGGGCTCGACAGTTCTTATCAACTCCTATTTGCTGCATCGCGACGCCCGTCACTTCCCGGAGCCAGAGATTTATCGTCCGGAACGATTCTTATCCGACGGCCTCAAGTTACCCCCTTACGCCTTCATCCCATTCAGCGCCGGCTCGCGCAATTGCATTGGCTGGAAGTTCGCCACGCTAGTTATTAAAGTAGCCGTCTTGAACGTGCTGAAAGCCTACCGCGTGGAGGCTTTCGATAGGGAAGACCAGTTGCGCCTTATATCCGAATTGGTGTTGGTCAACGCAAACGGACTTCGTCTCAAAATCACCCCGCGCGAATGATAGAGCGCGATCTTTTCCCACACCACTAATTAAAGATCTTAAATATCTTCAAATTCTTTGAGCGGTTTTAATTAAGGGTGGCAGTGAAGAAAATTTTATATTCCAAACTGCACCCCCCGCACGAGTGGGGCTCGTGCGGAGAAACTGGGCTATCTTTCGGAGGAGAAATTTGATGCACGGAAGTATTTCAGTATTTTAATCAGAGGAGTCAATCATTTAGGGCATCTTTGTGTGTCTGAAACAGAATTGTTTCGTTTATGTGAAAAATGTATTTAAAAAATCGCGCGTTACATAATTGTTTCGTTTGTATGAGAAATGTATAATATTTAAGATACCGCGCATTATATAACGTATCGCTGCAATATAACGTATAAAATATAATATTATGTATATGTATTTTTATAATAAAATATTTACTGAAATTTCTTGATGAAAGTGAATTTCATTGAAATGGTATTTTCATTAAAATAGTACAAAAGGATGTCGATAATAAACTAGATAAACGCAGAGGAGTACTAAAGTTTAACATTGATTATGTATAGTGCATAGTATGCTAAAATATTTGAGTTAAAGATAAAGACTGAAGAATATTAAAGCACTATTTTGCATATATACCGACAACTGTCGACTCGATTGGATAACGTTTGTCGTTTGAACAAACTATAAATTAGAAGTTGCTAACTTTTTTTGTCAAGATCATATTAAAATCTTTGTAATGATCAGGGGGGCAGAGAAATTTTATTATTTTATTATTTATTAAAATTATATAAAAATCAAATGTCTTCATTTCAATATTATTTTATATATTATAAAAGTCTGATGCAATAGCGACCGAATCGCAGAACCAAAGGCACAACAATATAATGTATATAATGTTGAAATTTCACAGGGGTTCGTTTACAGAGCATAGAGAGAAGAGAGGAATCCCTACTATAAATCCATCAACGCTTTTCCATATGATAGTTGTAGATTGTAGATATTATTAGCGAAGTCGATTGACGATCGTCAGTAAAAACTTCTTGAATGGAATTATATGTCAGAAACGAGAAGTTATATACTACAATGACAAATAATATTTTTATACGTCAAAATTACTATGCTCGATAATATAAATTATAAATAATAACATTAACATCTTCGGTACATGTTTATCTTACAATTAAACTACCCTTTTATTTTTAATTTTAACAAAAAAATATACTTATTTGATACCATTTTTCGTTATAATACATACACTGAAAAAAAAAATATTTAGATAAAAAAAATTTATTTAGGTGGCTGCCAATAGCTTATTTACTTAATACATAATACACATAATATTTATTTAGAATTAGATATTTTTATTTAAGTTAAGTAATTTTTATTAAAGAAAGAAAAAAGATCTTTCTCTTTTTTTTCATACATGGATGTGCTGTCTGAAATAAATTGATTCAAATCGAAATTTAGAATCAGTGACTGATTTTGATTCATACACGAAATAGCAATGAGATTGCAAACGACTGCGATTGCGTTAATCTCTGTTTATTATTTTGGCAAGGACATCACTCTGCGATAAGCAATGATCTCTGACGAGACTGGGAGTAACTATTGAAGATAACCAGAAGGCTTTATCTGTCCGGACTCATTTAACTTGGGATAATTATTGTTTCGTCTCGTGGCGATCGTGGCGCAGAGACAAGTGCGCTG